GAGGCTAGGAAGGGAGAATGAGCAGGTGAAGCTAGAGGGGAGAGGTCAGGAGGAAGAGTGAGGAGACACCGGAAGGGGCGGGGAGAAAGGGAGGGAAGGGAAGAAGGCAGGTGGGGATGGCCCAGGACCCAGCGGAGTGTGGGGTGCGGGGAGAGATTCAGGAACCAGACTGAAGTGGGCACGCTTGAGAGGAGGCCGGTGGACATCCACTGTGCCCCGTGAACAGCAGACAGGGCTGCTGTTGGCACAGAGGTCAGTCACCTGCCTTTCTGACGGTCCTCCCTGACTGGAGACCGTTCTTCCCGCAGCGGCTGGAGGTGACAGTGGGTCATGTGTGCCCGCAGGAGGAAGATGGAAGCTACAAGCTCCAAACTTCAAGTTAGTCACCCACAAGGCTACCAGGTAAGAGTGAGGCAGGTTGAGGAGGCTTCGAGCTCCCTGAAGGAGGATGGTCCCCTCCCACACACGCCCATCCTGCAAGCCTTCAATACACGAAACTTAGTGTTGTCTCCAAAAACAGCTCCCTCATGCCAACTTCCCAGCCCATAACCAGGGACAGCATCCCCAGAACACCATGGGGGATCCACAGCGGAGTGCTCATCCTCTGCTTCTTCCTCTGCATCTTATCTTCTGGCCTATTATAAAGCTATCTGCCACTTAATGTTGCCTTGGGGCTGTACATGGCGGGCCCATGCCTCTTCCCAGGCAATATGCCCTTACTCGACATTCCTTACCCGTGATCACGATTTCCAAGTGGGGGCTCATCCTAGTGGCCCATTTTCATCTGGTGCCATCTCATGAGCTCTCTGCCAACGCCTCTCAAACCCCTGAAATGATAGGAAAAATTCTGTGTTTAGTCCAGGGACGCCCAGCCCTTGAAGAAGCCAGGAAAGATTCCATCCCTCGCAGCATGTACGCAGCCACTCACTGCCTGGGGTTCTATGTGGCTCCGGGACCCAGTGGAATTGTTCATCGCTGCACTGACCCCTGGTTAAGAGCCATTTCAGGGACATTTTACATCTATTCTGACAGCGTTTAACTGAATCACTGTGGTTTGTGCTTCCTTCCCCCAGTGACGTCCTCACTGTGCAAATGAGTCTCCCCGTGCTGAGTTCTGACAAGATAAATGAAAACATAATAGCTGTTCAGAACTGGCTCCTCCTCCTTAGCGTCCTGTCCTCCATTACCAAATTAGACGTCGCACCGGAGAAGGCAAGAACCATCTCCCGAATCTCAGTCCCAGAGCCCCGTCTTATCCACCCTTCTTGTCTCCGGAAAAGGGGATTTCTCTGTGCTCTGTGTTCTGGGTCCCACCCGCCCGGTCCCACCCGCCCAGAGCGGGAGGAACGATTCCTCCCATCACCTCTCTCCCGAGCCCCTCTGCCAGGCTCTCCCTTCTCCACACAGAAGCGGAAAGGCAGGAACTCCCTCAGGCCTGTGACTCTAGCCCGGCTCTGCCTGTTTCTCACCCTCTGACCCGCATCTCTGAAAGAGGACCTCCACCCTACCTCTGTCACAGCAGCTTCTCACGCCAGGCTCGCCGGCCTCGCGGGCCAATCGTCCAAAGGTTCTAACCAGATTGACCCCCCCCCCGTCTGCTTCACGCTCCGTTCATGCCGTGTGTCCTGTTTGTTCCTCCCTGCCCTCCCCCACCCCAAGGTTGCCCCTCGATCGATCGCTGGCGCCCCCGCTGACTCCCAGGCCCCACCATGCTACTCCCTGAGCGTCAGCTGCCCCTCTGTTTAGCTTGGTCCGTTCCCTGACTTAGAACAGTGACTGTTCAGCTCGGCTGCCACGGCCACAACAGGATAAAGAAGAAACGGGATGTTCATTCTCGGCTGTTCCCAAGACTTTTCACTTTCATCGAAGGACGCAGTTTGCTCCCACAGTACAATCTGGTTTTCCAGGGAACTCCATTGCCAAGCAGTCTGACTCCGTCCCCTGACACTAGGAGTTTTTATTCAGGTGCTGCTGCTGCCGTGAAGCCCTGGGTGTGACTGGACTGGAGGTCCTCGGGAGCACCAGCCGCTCGCTCCTCTGCCTTTCAAAAGTCAACCACAGTAAACAGCCCTCCCCCAGGAAGCAGTAGGCCATGTGTGGCAGCGGGGTTGAAGTGGGTGTCAACAGAAGGCAAGTCCTTCAAATACAGACCCGGGGACCTCATGGTTCTGTTTCAGAAATAGTCTACAGCTAGCTACCACTCTGAACATGCCCGATCTCGTCTGCTGCAGAAATATAGTTTTCCTACCCTAACACACAGGCACAAACAACCACAAAGATGCTCAGCATGTGGCTTTGATATGAAATGTCCCCTAAACTCATATGCCGTTTGACCCCAATGCTCAGGTACACATGGATAGGTACACACACACACACACACACACACACACACACACACACACACACATATGTGTGCACATGGCCACAAAGACACATCCACACACACAGACACACCAATGGGCAGACACAAGGACATACACAGACATAATACACAGATATACACGCACACACAGACACACATGTTCGCACAGACACACTTGCACACATGCTCACAACATACACATCCAAACATACATGCACACAGAGACAGACACATACATATATACTCATATGGGTATATATGCACACACAGATATTTATACAGACACAGAGATGCAAAGTGTGCATACATATGCATGTTCAAACAAATGCATTCCCGTGTGTATTTAGGCAACTCTGTATGCCTATATGACTACAGATTTTAAGAATATTGTGTTCCAGAATAGCTGTAACTGCTAATTCCGTTCCAGCACACAGGAAGAGGAGTATAATTAGTGTATTTGTATGCAAATGTACTGTTAAGACCATTTTTTCCCCTCTGATGTGGTTATTTACGTCAGCATTTTTGCTGGGGGGCCCAGAGAAGAGGGACTTCGGTCCAGCCCACGGAGCTCTATCTGCGGAGCTGCAGGCAAAAGGGGTAACAGGGCATCACAGCTCTAAGAACACAGCCTCCCACCACCTTGGCACACTTGAGAGTCCCTCTTCTCTGGACCTCGGGTGCTGTTCCCCGTTTCATGAATGTAAGTCCTGTGAGTCCTGAGCCCTCTTAAGGCTTCACATCTGAGAGTCACGGCAGCCAGCGACCAAGTCCTGGCCTCCTGCTCCACCAGGGGTTGGAGTGAATCCCTCTCTAGGCCAGAACAACTGTGTGCCTGAGACACGTTCAACCTGGATGGGGACCAGTGAGCAGACTGTTCAGAGCCAGAGATGCTGACAGTCATGGGGAAACTGAGGGTCTGACTTGGAATTCTCATGGTTGCTTGAGGAAAGGTCTCCACTCCTGCCTGTCAGTGGGGTTGGAGTGTGTCATGACAGATGGCATGTACTACACCAGAGAGGCACTCAGATGTGTGGGCAAGGTGTGCAGAGGAGGCAATGGGACAAGTGTGACCACACACCGTGATTTAAGGTAGATGTGTACCAAGGGCCAGGGGTCAAACAGACCCACTGAGGATCCAATGAATGTAGACCCACTGAGGGCCAAGGATGGATACAGATCCACTAAGAGCCATGGATGAATACAGACCTACTGGGAGCTAGATAAAGACACAGATCAACTCAGGATCAGAGGTGAACACAGATCCATTGAGGGTCGGGGGTCGGGGGGATAAAGACACACTAAAGGCGAGGGGTAAACACAAATCCATTAAAGGCTAGGAGTGGATGTAGATGCACAGAGAAGTGTGGGTGAATGCAGATCCACTGAAGGCTAGGGGTGGATGTAGATGCACAGAGGATCATGGGTGAACACAAGTCCATTGAGGATTGAGGTTGGACACAGATCCATTGGGATTAAGAGTGAACACAGATGCACTGAGGCTCAGAGTGGACAGAGATGCACGAGGGCTCAGTCATCAGAGGTCAGGGTAGATGTAGAACCACTAATGACCGCTGAGTGCCAGGCTAGAACAGAACCGCTAAGGGTCAGAGGTGGACACACCAAAGGTCAAGGGTGGGCTGAACTGGCTACAGATGCTTCCAGGCTCCAGCTCTGCTCCTAAGAGTCTCTGCCTGGGGGAGAAGCTGGAACTTCACCAGTGGAGGTCAGTGCCCATGCCCACAGGTTAAGCCAAACAGCAAAAACAGCAGAAACAGCCCCAGTGATGCACAGAAAGTGACCGGAAACCAGAACCTATTCCAGACAATCACATTTTACTTTTTAAATTGTACTTATTATGTTTATGGGTGTGGGAGTGTGAGGTATTTATGTGGATATGTGTACATGTGCTTTGCAGATGCATGTCTTTGGAAGCTAGAGGTCAGCATCAGGTGATTTTTTTTTTATTGCTACCCAGATTATTTATGAAAATTTTAAAAGTATTTATTTATCTTATGTATATGAGTGTTTTGCCTACATGTATGTATGAGAACCACATTGGGTCACTTGGAACTGAAATTAGAGATGTTTGTGAGCCACCCACCACGTTGGTGCTGGGAACTGAACCCAGGTCCTCTGCAAAAGCAACCAGTGCTTTTAACTGCTGAGCCATCTCCAGCTCCCCTGACCTCCACTCTATTTCTTTGAGTCAGGATCTCTCACTGAACACGGAGCTCATTGATTTGGCTAGGCTGGGTAGCCGATAGCTGATGAGCTCCAGAGAGATGCTTTCCTCTGCAGAGCTGGGATTGCAGATACGTGCTGCTGTGCCCAGCTTTACGTGGATTCTTGGTATCTGAACTCAGGTCTTCATGCTTGTGTGGCAGACGCTGTACCAATGGAGACATTTTTTCCAGCCCCTGTGTTTTTTACTTATCGGTGATGATGGCTCTTAACTGATGGTTTCTTTTCCAACTTTACCGAATAAATGATTCCTCATCTCAGACCTGTCACCGCATGCAAGGCACACAGTTAAACTTCGGGATATCAGGTGCTTCACTGTGAAGGCCACACTGTGCTATTGTGAGCAGCAATGTATCGGGGCTAATGCTGGCCTCTCAATGCCCTGCTAGCCTGGTTTCCAGGGGACACTCTTTGGGGGTTATGCATGATCTCCAGACCTGGAACTGCTAACCTTTCCCTTAGCACCAGTCTCCTTCACCTTACCTTTGCTCAGAAAAACCCTTCTCTGTTCGGCACCGGTGTTTTTGGATTTGCCAATAGTGACACATGCCTCCCTTATGGCCCTGTACCCCAAGACCACAGGCAGCCCATCAGTTGGACTCCCTCCTGACAATATTTGAGGCAATCCAGGGGCAGGCCCATGGAGTGGAAATGAACTCAGAAACCCAAGCCTTCTCTTGGGACTACGTATTTTCTTCAGTCTTTCCATTGGTTTTAGCTAGAACAGTGTCTAGAGACAGCACTCAGGTGGTGGGACAGGTCACAGGGTGCATTTGACAACAAGAGTGGACACCCAAACCAACTTCGGTAGAACACAGATTGGGTATGAAGCTTTAGGCAATTTCACTTCTTCCTTAGTTTTTCTCTGTTGCATTTTTTTCCTTTAAGATTCTTTTGAACAAAAGATACAGGTAATTTTAGTAACTAGAAAAAGGAATGAAACCATTCCAATTTTAGGAGAGAAAATATCATCTTACAGCTTTTTTTTATAGGAGTGTGTAGTCCCTGTGAAATGATAATGTATCATTTCCTGCACCATAACTCTCATGGACATCCTGGGTATGAAGCCTATGGACAGCCTGAGGTCAGCTAAGAGTCAGGGCTCATCAGGACCTTCATGGCCCTGAGCCCATTCCCTTCTTCTGCAGTTCTGGGCAAGAGAGATGTTATTCATGTTGCAAGTCTTGGACCCAGAGGACAGAAGAACAAGAACATGATACTGTACATGTCCATCAGTGTATGCCAGCTGAGTGTGAGCAACATTCTGTCACTTGTCACATATCTACAGATGCCAAGAAAGCCTTCCTTCCGCAAAGGCTCAGGGAATGGAGGGTTGAAACGGATGAACTGTCAGGCTGGGGTCCAAAGCCGCTCTTGTGTTTAATGGGGAAGAATGAAAGCAAGGGGCAAGTGAATGGATGGTACAGGGTTGGCCCCGTTTGTCACTGCTTGAGAGGCACCAGCCAAGCCAGTAGACAGAGGAGCGGCCAGTGGCCCAGGGTGGGCTGGGAGAAGCATGAATCCCTCTATCTGCAGACAGATTATAAGAGAGTGCAGACCTCAAGAATCCAGGGACATGCCTTGAACGAATAAAAAAAGTTTATTAAAATAGCTGGCTATAAAATCAACGAACAGGGGGCATGGTGACTAAAAAGAAGTCTGCTTAAAATAACAACAACAAAAAACAGATGAATAGCCGGGCGGTGGTGGCGCACGCCTTTAATCCCAGCACTCGGGAGGCAGAGCCAGGTGGATCTCTGTGAGTTCGAGGCCAGCCT